AGCTAGTCAAGGCAGTAAACGCGCAAGTAAACCTGTCCAAACACGAATATGTGATAAGCGAAAGAGCTGCGTGGCGGGTGGATCCTTTTGAACTTCGTTACGGCATCTGGCATCACTTTGTCAGAGGCTGCGAGCCAGTAAACAGCTGCGGAGCGCCAGTGCAACTCGGATCCCCTGCCTCAGCCCAGGAGCGTGGTTAGCGCCGCTGGCCGTTGACGTGTTCATCATGGAAATCCTCCCAGATGGCGCTCCTGGCTTGCTGCTGTTTATAGGCCCTCTGACTACAGGAGCGGAGGGTATTGGGGCCAGCGGCAAGAAGGAACGGCCACTCCACCCTTCTAACACCCTCCAACGCGACTCCAACAGCAAAGGCAAACCCACAGGCAGGCTCCTGTAGTGCGTTATCACGGCACCCGTTTACGAAGCATTCATTTGTCTTCCTGTAACCAACGCCGTAGCCCTTCTACATTCTTATACTTGTGCTTAGGTACTCAGGCTCCCCCAATCAGTCTGTCTAGCAGTTTCTGGAATTTTGAAATTCTGGACTGTTGCAATAAAAGGCATGGCCGTTCCACGCTTGGGACAAATAAATAATGTAAATCAGTGTGTTGAGCAAAAGACGAACAACATAACGCAATCCGCCTCTTGGCAAGAATATGCTGCAGCGCATAGCAAAGCCTGACGCTCCATTTGGCACTATTAGCCTCAATTACAAGTAACTGCGAAGCCTTTTTCAATGCAGTTTCGTGCCTGGTGCATCTGTGATTTGTTCGTTGCGTCCCCGAGTGGCTGCAACCTGTAACTAGATGAGTTCCAACCGGAAGGAGAGAGCTGACTGTCACTACCCACCTTGAATACTATATATATATATATATATATATATTGTTCTTACTATTTCTGTTGGTCAATTGCCGCAATTCTTTCAGAACTCATTTATGTGAGGATTTCCGAGGATTTTTTAAACACCAGAAAATATGGGCAGCTGCGAGGCAAATGCATTAGAGGAACTTGACAGGCTAGTAAATCTACTGAAGTTGGAAATAACGGCACCCGTGAAGTACTTAGGCCCGTCAGACACTAACGGTAGAGAGCACAGAGCTTCATTCGGAAACACACGCTAAGACCGGAGGACGCCTCGCTTGTATTGTGCAGCAGCAACAGGCATGTGACATTTCATGAGAATTAATCGAAGTTATTATTACTAATAATTATTCTACCTTATTTAATTTTTAAATCTGTACCGTAGTCTATCTTTTAAGTACGTTTAGTTACTTCAAATTTTAATTCGTGCTTTATCCTGATAAACTTCAACAATTATATATGATTTCTAGCGTTTTAACAGTACAACTCTAATTAATACTGATAGTAATGCACATACAATTGAAAGCAATCGACCACCGCGTCAGCCGATGATACTTCGGCGTAAAGCAAGGAAGCCGGAAACACTTGGGCCAAAAAAATGCGCATTTGTATTATAAGCCCGTTCCACACCCGTAATGAAATCAAGACCCCTTGAGGGATTCTGCGAGTATGACGTATCAAACAATGCACTAGCGTCCCTTTTGTGCCCTTCCTCTCAGCGTCAGCCTCTTGCTGGTTCACAGTGGTCGTGTGACGGCCGGCGTTGATCCGCACCCTGAATTAGCGGTAGAGAGTGCAAACGAACCTCGGATCCCTCTCAGTAATGGGGTTCACGGGAAATTGATGAAGCTCCCATACGTTCTTGAATAATCGAGCCTCTGTCCCCTACTGTAATTGAATTCTGACAGTGAAGTGATCATAGCTTTTGCGGTTGTCTACAGAGCGTATATGCCGCGGCAACCTCTGGCTGGTGGTCTAATCACTATAAAATTAACCGATATATCCGTTTAAATCCGTTCAGGTATCGGAAGAATTTGCGAGAACTCGGCCTCGACTGTTTGCCGCGAATTCAATTGCAAACACTCCGGAGAAGCGGCCCAACATCTTTCAGCGGGGGCGGATCCTAGGCCGTTAGAAGTGCCTGACTATGCGATATATTAGTGTATTGGCACAACGATGGTCAGCTAAAGTATCGTAAACGATGTGCAAAACGCCAGTAAGAGGTGATGCAGGAACATATCATCAGCGTATTCCACACTGCATCCATTTAATAGCGGGGACGGGCATCAGTGGTGTAGCACTTTAACTCCGTCCCGCTGTTGAATTTGGAAAGATTCGCAGCCCAATGGGCATCTGAGGACGAGGACGACGGCACCTTGTAGAGGTAATTTGGCGTTTTCAACTGGGTGAAATGCAAGTGTGGCACTCTTCCAGAAGCAACGGGGCAACCAGTTGTTGCTGGCCGCACCGGCGGATGGCGAGCCCCAACCGTTCCCCACGTTTTACTGTGGGGAAATATGCTAAACCTTCGAAAACGGCTTTACGAGATAGCGCACGTACGAGCAAACCTGTCGCCCGCGTCTGGCCAGAATGTTCCCCAATGTACTCACGAGCAAGGCCAGAGGCTATACGAAAGATGTCCCTATATTTTCACAGTAATTCGCGTACGGTGCATAGTGCGGATTGATGCGGGGACTGAAGAGAACATCACTTGCTCGGGCAACGTATCTTGAAGAGTACACTGCAATTTGCGCAGACCAAAGCCACGTCCGCAGGTAAAATACTCCACATTGAGCACAGGCAATGCGGTCTGCGCCGAAAATGCGCAGTTGAGAGGTAAGCCAGGGAGTCAGTTAGACGGGAATCCGCAGTAGGGCACCTGTGGATATTTGCAAGCATACAGGTTTCTAACTAGACAATTTACCACTATAGCGGTCTTTTGACAGCTGGATTTTGCAAGGTGTACGTCTAGTCACACCGGAAAGAATTTGCTAGCTATATCAGGGACTGTCCTTTGTGTTCTTGGTGCGGCATTGTGCGGACCAGTGTTTTGCATTTTACAAGCATTTTGCGTCATGGTATGAAGGGTACATACGCGAGATAGTGTGAGGAAAGAAATGCACTGTACGGAGATAAGTCTCCACGAGCAGCTGACCGAAACTACCCAACAATTTCAAGAGACGTTATGGTATCTGGTTTCTAAGTGAACATCGAATAATTTTGTCCAAGGTGGCCAGCCAAGAACAACA